TCTTTCGGTGTACAGCGAATGTGTTGCTCTGCTCTTTGTTATTGTTTTGGTCTTTTCCTTTCTCCTTGAGGGGGACGGAGGGGGTGTAAGTGCTAATAATTTTGCAATGTATTGAAGCAACGGGGATGTGGTTGGGGCTGGTGCTGCAAGAACACTCTACCTTGTTCAACGTAATAGTCGGTGATCATTTGCTATACAGACTCGCAGCGGTGAGCATTGGTTTTCTTTACATGTGTGGGTGCGAAAAACGAAGACCGGGCAGCAGACGTGGTGGTTAAGTGAGTACACACACCCTTCTCCTTGAGTTGTCTGTGAGGTGTCTCATGTACCTCCTTGCTCCGCTGCACTGTGTTTGCGGCCTCTTTTGATGCGCACGAGTGTTTTTCCCATGTTTCTCGCCTTTTACGATTCACTCTCAGACACCAATGTCGGCAACTCAACAGGTTCTCGCCTTTCGTTTTTCAGCGGGCTTGATGCAGCAAGAATTTGCTCTACAGGCGGTGTTCTTTAACCCCTCCCCATCGATGTGTAGGAGGAGGGGAGAGGGTAGGGGGGGGGGTGCGCGTGCTGCTTTGTTCGTCGGTGATGGGTCACATCAGTGATTCTCTTGCCGTGTGCGTCCGCAGCAACGCAAAGCGGTGTATCACTGCGCACCGTCGTCCCTGCGCATCCCTTTCCTCTCCCCAAGCGCGTTGTTCGTCATCTGTCACTCTTTCCCTCGTCGTTTTGGTTTTCCCCTTCTTGCTTTCCCTCTGCCTTTCATCACCCTTACGTTCGTGCTTGGACTGTATTTTTTTATATATAGCTCCTTGGCTTTTTTGCTCCCTTTCTCTGCGCCCCGTCTCTCGCCGCGGTGGCGTTGGTGGGGAGAATTAAACGTTGTTGCCGGCCCAGGAAAGGCACCCGCTTCACCGCTGCTAGATTTCAGCGTCACGTGGGCTCGCCGGCGGTTACCCGATAAAGCGAAAGGGGTTTTCCTTTCCCTTTTTGTTTGTAGGGCGATACGAGGAGCCAGCGGCCATCGCAGTGAGCCATGGCGGGATTCCTTGTCCGTCTTGTTTTGGGCAAGGGCCCCTTCTCCACACGGTAGCAAAGCGGACCACGTCAGGGGTGTCGCTGTATAGCAACTCGTGCTTTCTTTCGCGGAGAGGGGGGAAGTCAATGTATTTGAATTCTACCGCGGGACGATAGAGTAATGTTGGGGAGATCAACGACTTGTTCGATGCTTCCGTCACCCTGGACAAACTGCACCGGGTCCGTGCTGCACGTTGCCAGGTGTCTGCGATTCTTGGTACCGGGGCAATGGTCACCGGCGACTGGGCTCACCATCTGCGTTCTTGCCTTTCCCCGCGGCAGAAACGGTAGCTTGAAGAAGAAAATGCTCGTCGGAGAGGGACATCGTCGTTAAAACGAAAACGGTATCCAAGCCGATCACCCCATTTGGAGTACTTTTGACCCAGTGTTGCTTGGCTTGGAGGAGGGGGGCGGCCTGGTTCGTTTTCTTGTGTCGTTGCGCAAGGTTTGTCGAGCGGCTGCGGGAGGGGCTGCGCTTCTCGTTGCATCGACGATGTGAACTGCTCCACCGTCGTCGTATCGCGGGCTGCCGTTTGCTGTTCGTCAGGGGCCGGGGGGGGGGGGGGCGGTAATCGCCTCCGCCGAGGATGTCTTTCTCTCCTTTGCAGCGGAGCACTTTTGTCCAGGCCGGCTCGCCAACCATCTCCGTTGCCACCACCGGTCAACTCTGTGTGGAAACGCGATGAGCTCTGCGCGGCGAGCTCCACGGATGGGAAGTCTGGGGTATTGCAGCTGCACAGACCGCTGTCCGTATCTGTCCGCCGTGTCCGTGTCACAGCTTCCATCTCTTATTCTCTCAATCGCCTTTTCCAATCTCTCGCCTGCCGACAAGAGAAGGTCTAACTTTCTGGCGCGTGTTACGACTCTTAATGGGCTGCAGAGAAGGGGTTAGCTGACGGCGAAGTAACACGATGCAGCGCTTGCGAGCACGCAAAAGATGTCACAAGAGGTGCCGGTGCCACGAGTCGGCGACCTCCGCCTGCTAACCCAAGGGCTCCAACTTCGTTTTGCTCCTCCGATTACGCGCAGGAGTTGAAGGGATTAGGCTTGGGACCCGGCTGTCCCGGCTACGTTCACGGCAGCTTGGGTCGCGATGCTTCTCATCAACGCCACCTCCTGTGTCATCCTTTGCGTGCTCGCAAGCACTGCACCGTGTTTCCCTGTTCTCAATGCGCTCTTACCTTTCCCCTAACTCGGTGAGAGCCACAACGTGCGTCAGAAAGTTCGACATTTATTCTTTCTGAGGGGAGAGCGTTGTTGGAACTAAAGGAAAGATAGGGACCTGTACGGCGGGTCTCAGCCGGGACACTACTCCGTCATGATAAAGCAAAGGTTCAACGAGAGAGGGGCGGAATAGAACAGCGAAGCAGGAGTGGATGTTCGCCCGTTAAAGCTTCTTGATCGCTTTGTACCTGTCGAACTGCCATTTTTGTATTCGTTCAGCGTTACGTTCACGCTGCACGTTCATGACACGCTGCAACCTTGGCAGGTAAAAGGGGGAAAAAACTACGGATGCAAATGATATCAACAGGTTTACTCGAAAGGCGGAGAACCATATGGAGAAGTGTTGTACTGTCGTATGATATACCCTCTTTCTATTCCTCCTATAGAAAGGCGGAGCTATTGGTGCATACTATCTGGGGTTCGATAATATCAGAATGCCGCGTCTTTGCTGGAAACTACGCCTCATCTCTCACTTCCAGCTCCTCTCGGATCTTCACTCTGTCTCTTGAACAACGGCACTTCTATTACCAAAACAACGCATTTCGTGAACGAACTACGGACACCCCTACTCACAGCTCCGACTGCAGCACTGTACGGTAGGTTGCGCCGTCTTCATTGTTGGTGGTGGTGGTGCTGCGCGTTTGTTTGTTTTTTTCGCTCTTTTGAGGGGCGTTTTGCGGCTGCCTTCGGTCGCTGATTGGCCGTATTGTCTACTTTGTCTAAACTACCGGGTCCTCTTCCGTACTCTTCCCCAGACGCTATTGGTTCTCTCACCTGCATACATGCGTATACGCATGCACATACATTTAATAATTCGAAGGGAAGACGCGTCCGCTGGCGTTGCCTCCGATCTCGCTTTGGATTCCACTATACTCCGAAAGCTGTTGATGAAGTTGTAGAGCTCAATTCTCAATTTCGATTGCTCTTTTTCCTAAACTCACCACACACAAACAAAAATTCCATACCCATGTCTTTCTCTGCATCTGCGCACGAATGCGCACACTACGTGCTGCGTTACACCGCCTATCTTCTTCTTCTCCTTGTAGTTGTGGTGAAGAGACGCTGTAGTGAGCTGAAAAAGACGATGCATGAGGCCTCCAAGCACCCGTGCAGTCCCCGTCACCTGTCGCAGGTTCTCGTTCAGCTTTTGCGAACATGGCGCTTTTTTTCGCACCAAGGCATGATGGTGTCGCTCCTCGCTCTGTGCGGGCTGCTCGGCGCTGCAGTGCATCTGCGACTCGCACTTGCCTCGAACAGTACGTTGCTGTGGACGCACTGGGAAACCTATGTGTCGATGCCCACACGAGGAGCGTCGGTCACCGCCCCCGTGCGTGACCCCCGCCTGCTGAGTCCTTTTCCCCCACGCTCCGCCCTCACCGCCGCCTTCTTCTGCGGCCGCCCCACCGCCAGCAGCTACGACGGCTACGCAGGGGCGGCACACGCCGCCTACATCCACCACGACATGGACCACGACCGCTTCGTCGTGCGCACCTTCGGCCGCGGCGGCACCCGCGTGGATCTGCGGCGGCGCACCGGCATCGGCCGCAGCACCTACGAGGTGTTCTGCGGGGCGTCCGTGCATGCGCAGACGCGCACCCCGCTCGCGCCGTCGCCGTGGGTGGAAGGCGAGGCCAACTGGCAGCTGAGCACCGCCGAGTCGCACGCACGCCCCACCAACGGCGGCTTTAACTACACGTTGGAGGAGTTGGCCAAGCCGCTCTCCGCACGTGGCACCTCCGATCACTTCGACGCAGACTTCACCAAGGCGGACCAAGGCCTGCGCACGCACTACCGCCGCTACAGCCGCGACGAGGTGCTGGCGAAGAACCGCCACATGGACTTCATCTACTCCTACGTGAACGGCAGCGACGTCACACGCCTGTTTTTGAAGCCCTTTGCGACGTCAGGACAGTGTTCTAGTGCCACCACGTCCGTGCAACTGCTGTGGGGCGCGCTGCTTAGATTGAAATCCGCAGAACTCGCTGACCTCGGCACTTCAGAAAAGGAGTTTAGTCGTAGCGTGACGGCGGTTCTGTTTGCGGATATGTCCAGTCCGTGTTCTTTAGCCGACTTGCACTCCTCCACTGTTACCAGTAGTGAAGCCGTGAAACGAGTGCAGCAGTCTTTAGAAGCTGCTCTACGCGCAGGGACCGCGAACCCGGCAGCGTATGCATCCGGAACCTCGCACAGTACTCTGACCGTCTCAGAAATGATGACTGCACTGGGTGTGACTGAGGCACTCAACAAACAAGACTTTTTAGATT